GTGGCTAGGGGAGGGGGACAGGGCTGTGTGGGGGAGGGGGAAGGGTGTGGCTAGGGGAGGGGGGACGGGGCTGTGCGGGGGGAGGGGGAAGGCTGTGGCTAGGGGAGGGGGGATGGGGCTGTGCTGGGGAGAGGGGCTGTGCTGGGGGGCAGGGAAGGCTGTGGCTAGGGGAGGAGGGACGGGGCTGTGTGGGGGAGGGGAAGGCTGTGGCTAGGGGACGGGGCTGTGCATGGAAGACAGCCTGACCTAGCAAGCAGGGTGCGCGGGGAGCGATGGCCGCACGAGGGCCAATGCAGGCAGTGGTGGGAATCTGTCTGCGGGAAGGCCCATCCCTGGGAAGGCCGAGGGGCAGATAAGGGTGGGATCCAGGCAGGGGGCCTCTGAGCTGGGCAAGGGGCAGGAAGGATGGCACCCTCCAGCCAGAAGGCCAGTCAGCCTCTCCTCTCCCAGCCCTCCCGGAGGACGTCCCATCCCATCCCATCCCATTCCCTGCCATCCAGTCCAGCCGCAGGGGCTGGTTCCTTAGCGGCCCCCCAGCCCCAGCTCACCACCGGTCTGGGGGGGCGTATAAACCCCGTCCCAGGGACCCTTGGTTCGGCTGGCCCCAGTGAATCTCCATGGCACAGGCGGTGGTGGATCTATGGGGGGGAAAGGGGTGCTGACCTCCCTGCCACGGGTCCAGCCCCCCACCCTGGGGGCCCTCACCATGCACGGGCCAGGGGCTCTCCGTCTCGTGGGCGTCGTAGATCTCCTGCAGCTGCTTCATGGACTCGTCCAGCACCACGCTCATCCACATCAGCACGTTGGTGGCCAGCGTGTGCATCAGGCCAAACCTGGGAGGGGGGAGAGGGCAGGGGGAGCTCACGGCCCGGCCTGGCCCCAAGGGGCTGCCAGCGAAACAACCAGCCCCCGCCCCCATCCCGGCGCCCCAGCCGGGGGCACGGATACCTGTTGAGATGCTGCTGCTCCTGGATGCAGACCTTGGCGTGGAAGGACAGCAGAGACACCTGTGCCGAGGGCAGGGAAAGGCAGAAGACAGGGTCAAAGAGCAGTGATACGCAAAGGGAAAGGACTAGCCGCTGCCCAGGAATGGCTGAAAGCCCCTTCCACCACGCATGCTGCACCTTTAACTGCAGCGGCCATCTTGAGAGGTGGGGCTCCCTCCTGGGGACCTGATGTTGGTTCTTTCTTGCTTCGTACTTTCCCTCCTTCTCCACCCAGCCTGTCCCACACGGCCCTAGGGACACCAAGGCTGGACGAGTCCACACAGAGCCCTCCCGTGCTAACAGCCCATGCTAGGGTAACAGCTGACTACAGCTGCCCACTAGTGGAGTCACTCCTTGAGCTCATGTGGTCTGCGCTGTGGGGCTAGTGTCACCCGGGTGGGTTGCTCCTGACAGTCTGACTCCTCCCTTCTGGCTGCTAGTGCTCTGCGCGTGCGAGGCCCCTCACCTGGATGATGGTGAAGACGGCTTGCACGACAGGGAAGGCGGTGATGAGGACGGAGGTGCAGTGCTGCAGCTCGTAGTAATACCCCAGGGACAGGCAGTCCAGCACCAGCGTGGCCAGGGCGAAGAGCGAGAGCCCGCCTGCCGGGGCAAGAGAACACCATCACCGAGCCCTGCCAGCCACGGGGCAAGGGCCAGGCTGGGTGCTGTGGGGCCAGTGGAAGGGAGATCCTGGGGCCTCCGTAGCCATGGGGCTGCAGTGGTTTTGTTTTCTGTCTGCAGCACCTATGGATATCTAAGGAGCAGGTCTGCTGGGTGGGGAGAGGTGATGGCCACGCAGATGCAACATGTGACAGCAAAGATGTCCCCACTGCGCTCTCTCCTGGAGCCTCGTGCCCGTGCGCTCTCATTGTGTTCTTGTTCCTGGTTCTAGCCCTGGGCTGGGAGAGCAGGGGGGTGGGTCGGGATTGAGGGGCACCAGCGGAGCTGCTGTGGGGCGATGGACCGATCCCCATGATTGTTTTCGCCCCACCCGTAGGCGAGTCACCGAACCCCGGTGCCGTGCAGAGGCTGCCGCGGGGCCAGGGGGTTCCCAGGGAGCAGACGGTACCTTTCAGCCAGCTGGCCCCGGCGTGGTGGTCCTGGTGCAGCTTCCGGCGCTTGTTCTGGGAGGAGCGCCAGCCGAACCACAGCATCCACGCGCAGGACGTGAGCATGAGCGTGGCCAGGAAGCCGTGGACGTTGCGGCTCTGGGGGCTGCGCTGGTGAATCTCGGCCAGCAGGACGGCGCTGCCCAGGAAGGTGAGTAGCACGAGATAGAGCAGGGACAGCAGCGAGCCCGCCCGGGCGTTGGCCAAGTCCTGCCAACCTGCGCCCTCTGGGTCGGCGGGGGAGTCCGGGGCTCCCTGGCCCTGCCCCTCAGGGGGGTGAGGGGAGCCCAAGGGAAGGCACCGCTGCAGCACGTTGCTCATCGCCCCGGGGATCATGGCTGTGAGGGGAGGGGACAGGGAACCATCAGGGAGGGGGCGGGCTGGGGCCCAGTGCAGAGGTGGGACAGGGGAGGGGGAATATACTCCGCGGGTCACCCCCAGAAGGGAGACCTAAGGGGGGGTTACACTGCTCCCCTCACACCTACTCACAGGCATACACCTCCCCTCGCACCCCCACGTGTCCCCACACACCCATCAGCCCATCTCGCTCCGACTCACCCCCTCCAGCTTTCATCCTCCCGGCGCCGGCCCTTTCCCTGGGCATAGACGCCATTGCACGGTGCTGGGTGGGGCAGGATCCGGCCCCCAGGAGCCAGCAGAAGGAGGGGATCGACGTCACTCCAGCTGCCCACTCCTGGCTCACGGGGGTCTCTGGGCAGCTGGGAACGGCCATTCCACAAGTGGCTTTTGTTGGGCTGAGCCGAGCTGCCCTGGGCCTGGAGAAGGAGGCCTGCAGCCCACCGCCCTTCCCCACCCAACCATGCGGGGGCATGTGAGCACTGCCCCGCCTCCTCTTTCCACGCACGCCCCCGGCCACAGAGACGGACACACGGACACTCCCAGGTGTGACTCAGAGCAACAGCATGACGGGGGCAGACGCCGAGCTCTGTACTCTCCACACGGCCAGTGGGACCATCTCCTAGACTTCCTTGGGCTGTGCCTGGGTCCAGGGGATCATGCCCATGGTCCAGGGAGCTGTGCCCAGGTCCAGGGGGTCGTGCCCGGCATTCACGGGGCCGTGTCCAAGTCCAGGGGGCCGTGCCCACCCTTGTCTTTCTGGCTGGACGGGTGGGGGGCTGTGGGGAGCTGGTTCGGTGAAGGTGGGGAGTCAGCGGGCTAGGACCTTTAACTGGGGCTGGGCCAGACTCCCAGAGTGACGGCTGCAGGGCCCCATCCTGCTCTCGGGGGAAGAGGGTCTGGTCGCGCCGGATAGGCTTCCCCTCCCAGCTTTACTAGGATCTCTGGTGCCACGACAGACAGACAGATGCCTCCCCCCTCTCCATCCACACAAACCTGCCTGGAACGGACCATGTCGGCGTCTCGCCCGAGACATCCAGCCCTGGGCAGAGATGGCCCTAGACACCCTTGGGATGGGTCCTTGCATCTGCCCCACACTTACACGGTGCCACCGGTCACGCTGGCGACTCAGGAGCGTCTCTCATGCCACCCTCTGTCCTGGCCGGCTGTGTGGGGCATTCTGCCCTGGGGACGGCTTAATATTCCAGGGGGTGGGTGGTTCCTCTGCCAGCCTGGCACCTCCCACTAGAGTAATCGGGGCTGGGGGGGTTGCCACAGGCAGCCCCCTCCCCGCTGCACACACAGAGGGGAGCTGCCCCTCCCTGGCCGCTCGCCCTTTCACGGCAGATTGGAGTTTAATAACCGGAGTGTTTCTGGAGCGATTGTAGCAGCAGCTCCCTGCTGCCAAAGGCCATCGGGGAGACCCGGTGCCGAAAATCCAAGGGCAGAGGAAGGAGAAATCAGAAATTGCTTGATTTTGGGGTGGGGGGAAGCAGGGAAATGTTAGTTATTTAAATCTCTCTATGTACAGAAAGAAAGATCAGCTTGTTTCTCCGATCACTAGGGAAGTGCACCCAGCACAGCGCCTCTCGCACCAGCGGGGCAAATCCAGGGGCGACTGCGAGGAGAGAACATGGACTCTGCTGTTCTGAAACCACAGGGTCGCATTCTTTCAGCTAAAGATGAATCCTCAGTACCCCTTAGCAGTACAGGGTGTAGGCCACACAGTGCACAGTTTGGATTCCATCCAGTAGGGGGCGGTGGTGCAAGCATGCACCTGTATAAACACAGCCACACACACCAGGCAGCTAACCACGGCCTAGAAACACACTAAATTAACACTAGCTCGTTAATTGATTATTATTTTGTCATCTTGAACTGCGGGCAGCACCCAGAAGCCTGCAGTCATGTGCCAGGCTCCCACGGTGCTAGGTGCTGTACACACAGAGAACAAAAGAGACCAACAAGCTAAGGCTTATTTATCTCCCGAATAAAAGTGCGTTGAGGTCAGCGGCAGCATGCCGCAGAGCAGAGGCACACGCTGTGCTCTCTCTCCCGGAGACTTGACTCTGGGTCTTTTTTGTGTTCATGGGTTTTCTCCTGGTAGCAGGCGAAGAGCCGTGATGCCAAGGGCAGGGCAGGAAGGGCACGGAGGGGGCCAGGCAACCTCTGAGATTGGTAATCGCAGCCTGCCCAGCCAGGGCGTGGTGCTAGCAGGGGGCCCCGAGGCGGCTGGCACTAGCCCCAAGGATGGCCAGTGTGGTAGGGTGACCAGATGTCCTGATTTTATAGGGACAGTCCCAATTTTGGGTCTTTTTCTTATATAGGCTCCTATTACCCCCACCCCCGTCCTGATTTTTCACACTTGCTGTCTGGTCACCCTAAGTGTGGCACAGATTTGGCACCCCCCCCATTCAGCCTGTCGGTGGAGCTCCTGGGCAGCGCCAGCTGCACCTGGCAGCCCCCTGGGGCAGCCCCGGGCAGGGGAAGGCGGCCGCACGGCCAGCCCCCTCCTGGGTGCCCCTTGGTGCCAAACTGCCCCAGCGCGGGGAAGGGAGCCCGGGGCATGAGAGATCCGCGGCGTGGATCACGGCGGGCCCGGTCCATGGAGCAGGATTTGGTCCGTGTCCCCCCCCCCGGGCATCCAGCCCCCGGCCTCACATCCCGCGCGGTCCCCGCCGGCTGGGCATGGCCCGTGCGCCCGGAGCCTGGAGCCCGGGAGCCGCCTGGCTCCGCCCCGCCGTGCCCGGCCCCTTCCAGCTGCGCTCCCCGCCCTCCGGCCTGCGCGCCCGCCTGCTCCCTGGGCGCGGCGCCGCTGCGCACTGGGCTGGAGCCGGGGACCGGAGGACGGGCGGGGGCCGGCGCTGTCAGCGAGCCGCGGGGCGAGCCGGTGAGTCGGAGCCGCCCCGGGAGCCGGCCCCGGGGGTGCGTGCGGCTGCCGGGGCGCGGGGAGGAGGCGCCCGGGCGGGGGTGTCCGGGATCCATTGGTGCCCAGCGGGAGCCCACGCGTGCCCGGAGCCCTCCCCACGGGCGCTGCTGGCGGTGGGTGGGGTCGCTTCCCCTTCCCCTTGCCCCCCCCGTGGCAGCAGCCGGCCAGCCCAACCTTGTTCCATCTGCCTGAGCTTGTGCCCCCCCCGGAGTTTTAGCTCCAGGCTCTGGGACTGGGTTTGCACCGTTGGTGGTGCAGGGCTGGGCTGCAGGGCCCCAGGGACGTTGGCCGCTGAAGTGGGGGTTGGTTTGGGCCCCTCCTGAGTCAAACCTGCCGGGCTTTGCCGTGACGCCGCAGAGCACGAGTGGGCCGGGGGTTCGCGCCCCTGCCAGCCGGCCCGGGTTAGCTGGAGCACCCCAGGGAGCTGTGACCCAGTGGGATTTCACAGCAGGTGCCTGGCACAACTCAGGCAAGGGGCGAGCAGCAGAGCGGGGCTGGTGGCTAGTGCATTGGCCTGGGGGCTAGCATAAGCGCTGGCTGCCAGGGCTAGGCCAGAATCACTCGCCCGACATCCTCCTAGGTTTGGGAAACCTGCTCGGAGTAACTGTGGGTCCTGGGTGCTGAGGGCTTGGTGCATCATAGCATGCGAACCTCTCCCCCCTCTCCCTCCCATGCTGCAGCTCCCAGGCAGATGATGCTAAGAGCAGCGGTCGGCCCCCCGGGGGTGGGCAGAGAGGAGACATTGGGAGACCAGCCTCAGTCCTGGCCTGCCTCTGGTCCTTGTCTCACTCCACTCCCTTCCTGGCTTCCTTGCAATCTCACGGCCATGGGCGCAGACCTTCTCCTCTGCATCTCCTGCTGTCCACAGCAGCCTCTGTTGGTCTCTCCTCCCCTCCCCTGAGGAAATAGTCTTCTCTGGGGCGTGGTGGCGCCAGCCCCCTTGGGTCATTTCCACTCAGCTGGGAAAAGGCCCTGGGCATATGTAGTGTAGGGAACAAGCCTGGTAGGGGGGCATCAACCGGGGGGCGGGGGGACTGGATGCTCCAATCGTTCCTTTCTATTGCTAGTTTCCTCATCTTGCTGTCTCAGCAAGAGACAGACTTGGGACCCGACGGCCCAGGGAAGCCGCCTTGCCTTGGAGGGAGCTGAGATGCTGGCTAGCACCTGGCCCTGTGTAGGGGGGCCCTGGCACGAGGATCCCAGGCTGTAGAAATAGGGGCTCCTGGCAGAGTAGGGCATGGAGTTTAAATCCTCCTCCTGTCTGGGGGTCGGGCTGTTGGCTGAGGCCTGTTCCTACTCTCAGGAAGGCAGGTTTTGCCAGGGGGTGGGCAGGCTGCCCTGGTGCCCCCAGGTTACACAAACGGCAAAGCAACTTTGCAGGAGCTACTCCAGGGTTATGCTGATGTCAGCAAGGTCAGGATCTAGCCCGAAGTCCCAGATGCTCCTGGGCAGCCTAGCAAATGGAGGGGGGGTGCCCTTTGGGCTGGAGGTAGCAGACGCAGCACCTCCCTTGGTAGGTGTGCTCGCCCCTTGAAATGGACTATGGGTCTTGATTTCACACCTTGCAGTCCCCTTCTCCCCAGCGCTCGCCGTTTGGGACAGCCTCATGCCCTCTGGCCACCGGCTCGGGGTGAAACAGTCACTTCTCTGCACGGCACTCGCCTGCTTTGGGGGAAACAAGACTTAAAACAAGAGAACAAAACAACCCGGGGATAAGGGTTTTAGCAGCTCAGCTGCGGGCGGGCCCCGGCGTCTGATTCGCTTCATGACAACCGGCCGCCCCCTGCTCCTGCGCAGGGATTACTCTGGCTGGAGAGCATTAGAAATATTGGAAATAAATCCGGGGCGAGCTGCCAGGGAGGGCTGACATTTCCGAGAGGCAGGGAGTTGGAGGCCAGTGGTTTTTCTGGTTGCTAAGGGGAAATGCACAGACTTTAGCTGGGAGCCAAATGGCAAAAGAGGAACGGAAAGAGCGGGAGAGCGCCAGGACCTGACTCTTGCTCACGCCAGGGATACGCCCTGGCACACCACTGACTGCAGAGGAGTCACTCTGGATTGACACCAGGGTGTGTGAGGTCAGAGTCGGGCCCGGTTCCCTGGAGACGCGACTTTGCTGGGTTCTGCCCTTTATCGCTCGGGGAGACGGGGCCTCGGCCAGCGCCTGCCAGTAACTTCGGAGGAAGTTGGGGTTGGAACGTGGCAGCTGGGGGTAGGGACAGGATTCCTGTTCCTCTGCCCCAGCCACACAGCTGTTCCACACCCTGAGCTCACGCTCCCCGGCTTATGTCAGTCACCCCAACTCGGGGCTTGGCTGGGAGAAGACGTGCTTATGGGAGCGATCCGAACCTTTGAGGGTCTCTCAGTGCACCAGGGACCCCCCGTGCAGCCTTCCTTGCCAGCACATCCTGGTGTCACCCCGCACCCCTGGGTGGGTCAGCAGCCGCCGAGGTTGAACCGGAGCCCTCTGGCTCTTAAGGCCAAGCACGCTCTGGTGTCCAAGGCTGTAGCAGCCTCTGTGTGCCCCCTTGCAATTGGGTGACACAGCCTCAGTTTCCCTCCTTGCATGGCCCACTCATGGGGTGGGCTCACCCTGTAGTCCTGGCTTCCTGGGCAGCTTCTCACCAGCCGGCAGCTGAAGGCTCCTGCTCTCGGTGGTTTCTTGGCCTCTCCGTCGGCTGCCTGGCACCCCATCACCCCAGCTGCTCTTCTCCTGCCGGCCCAGTCCCTGGGGCTAAGCTCCTTACAGCAGCTCTCCTCTCTGACTCATCCCCAGCGACCCTGCCGACCTTCCTTCATAGGACCCACCCAGCCTGGTTCTCCCCAGCTGGGTCGAACCCCCAATTGCCTGCGTCCTCCCCAGGTGCCACAGAACCAGCGAATTGGGCTCGCCCGCTCCCCGTAACCCCGTCACTGCCAGTGTGGGCTTCAGACTTCCTCTTGCAGGAGCCCAGCCCGCACTAGAGGGGGGCTGAGCGCCGCCCGGAGGGGGTGTGGGTCCTACTGGCTGCTCCCTTCTGAAGGGGCCGGGGGGGGGATCAAGCCTCCTGCTCTCCCTTCCCCCAGGCTCGGACCCTGGCCGAAGACTCTGCTCCCCGTATTAGCCCTTTGCTTGTCTGTTGCACCTTCGGCTCTGGTGCCTCAAGGCGCTTTCCAGGCAGCGTTGAATTTCGCCCCCCCCACCCCGCCGAGGTAGGGGAGCGTTAGCCCCGTTTCCCAGGGGGAGGAACCAAGGCCCGGGGAGGTGAAGGGACTTGCCCGTGGGCACATGACAACTCTGGGGCGGTGCTGGGGATAGAACCCAGGAGTCCTGCGTCCCCAGCTCTGGGTGTCGGCGCCAAGGGCAGGGTAAGGGGACGGCCCGTGTGCACATGTTTTGAGATTTCCTGTTTGCTGGGTGGATCCAGGCTGGTTCTAGCTGGCTCCTGGAGGTTTTCGCTGTGGGTGCCGAGCAGGGGGGCGGAGGCAGAGCTCTGTGATTACAGAGCCCCAGGGCCTCTCCGGGTGAGCCAGGGATCCCATGACATCCCCAGGAAGGAGACAGTGCCCTGTGCTGGGACAATGCAGCAGGGCTCTTGAACAACCTCCTCTGG